AAAAAAAAATTATCAACAAATAAACTCTTAATCTCAAGCAAAAATCATTTCAATAAAAAATATTACTTCTCAATTGTAGTTGCTACTTTTTCTTTTTCTGCTAAGACTTTTTTATTCATAATAGTTTGGGTTAAACTGAGTTGGTGTTGGGTAAACGTCTTAAAATTTTCCTGCAATTGCAAAATGCTCTGACGACTTTGAGCAAATACTTGTTTAACAGGATATCCATGTTCAGTTAAGGGCAGATATTTTTCTTCGGCACACATTAACTCGTTAATAAGTCTATCAAGTTCTCTGCACGGCTCTACTTTATGAGAATCTCTTTTAAACAACAAGTCTTCTGCTCTTCTGGAATCTTGTCGATATATTAATCCCAATAACATTGTTTTGTGTATCTCTTTTACGTGATCAACAACTTTTTTATGGCTATCAAAGTTGAAGTTTGGGCAACTAGGGCATATGAATTTGTTGCCCGCGGTTTTATCAAGTCTATTACCACCAAGATATTTTCTTCTTGGAGGCGGCATCTCGGTGATGAGATTAAAATTCCAGACAAAATGAATTAGTATTTATATAACACAAGCTTATAGTTAGTTATCCCGACATGGATACCTGACAGATCTGATTCGATAGGAATCAAATTGCCGAAGTTATGAATCAAATTTTTCCCTAAGAAATGAATATATAAAGTGAATATCCGGCAGTATAAAAATATAAAAAAATAATATAAAAAAACTTCCTTAGTATATATTCTTAAGTTCGTTCGATAGATAAGGAAAGTAAGGGTTTAACATCATATTATTTATAGTAATTTAATTGAGTGATTGAATTACCCCATAATAAATTAAAATTTTTAGAATATGCTACAAATATTATTTATTTTTATATCTGATATAAGTAAAGTCAAAAAACCAGTTTTTCTAAAATTTTCATACTAACGCACTTAAAATTAGAATAATTTTTATATTAGTTCCAAATTTGGCAAAATACATAACAATGATTTTTTTATACGCTTCATCTTTTGTAAGTCCCCATCACTAGATATCAGATATGAATGTAACAATATAATTCTTTAATAAGATCTGCAACTTTATTTGGCTTGATTTTTGTACTGCCGGAAATTACAGTAAACAGGTTTTTTGATATTGTTAACGTTAATAATTTAAATATATCGATATCGATATAGATAAAGTAAATTGTATGAAAATCCTATAACGATAATTGAATTGAACTTTAAATTAGAGTGGCTTTTATGTTAGCGTTATAATATATATCGTTATTTTACATTAAAAATTTTTAGAATATGCTACATATAAAAAGTATCAAAAAAGTATAATCATGTAATTTTCTATATAGTAGAAAATTATACATTCGTTTATATAATTCAAAAGAGATAATCTCTTAGTCAATTATCATAACCCGTTCGAATTTTCGACTTTTTTTCAGAGCATCACGCAAACAAAATAAAGTTTCACACGAGAAAGATTATCAGATATGACTTTATAATAGTGATTCTAAAGCCTGAAAAGTTTATCATACATGAGATTTCGTCAAAACTTTTGACATTCCATTTGAAGTAAATAACACGCGACAATAGTGAATTAAGAAGTTTATTTACTGGTCTTGGCAGTAAAGAAGTAAGATATTATGAGGAAATCACATGACACCAACGAATTCACAAATTTTAGAATATTGATAAAGTAATTATTCTACATACCGTATAAAGATTATTTTTGATACTTTGATTTCTTTTTAGATTTATAGCTCTTTAAATTACACTATGCCTTGATTTCTTTATTATAATTATGCCCGGAATTATATTTTGATTTTTTCTGGAGTTATAGTTTTGTCCGGAATTGATTTTGCCAGGAGTTATGCATAATTTAGCCCGAGATTATGCTTGAATTTATATTTGATTTTGCCTGGGGTTATTAATTTGCTTAAATTTATAATTTGATTTTGCCCAGAGTTATGTCCAGAATTATATTTAATTTTGCTTGAAATTATATTTTAATTTTGCCTAGAGGTATGTCCAATTTTTTGACCAAAATTTGCTTGAAATTAAAATTAATACTTAATTACGTTTGAAATTAAAATTTGATTTTTGCAATAATTTTGCCCGGAATTATGCTGTTTTATATTCGGTATATATTATAGTATCTTTTTCTGATTCTTCACAAGTAAGATGTCTAAATAGGTTGTAAGCTGTATTGTATTTTTTTTCATTGTAATTTTTAATTGCTTTTTTTAAGTAGAAGAAATTTATGCTTTCACCTGTTGGTTTACGATTAAGTTTGTTGCTTTTTTTTCATCATCCAAATATTTAATCAAATTTTTAATTCTGATTTTGATTCTACTTGTAAATTATAAAAATTTTCAGTAAAAGCAGACCATTCTTTAGCAGTAATAACATTATTTTTGTTACTAGTAGCATCAAATCAGAAATATTGGTTTGATCAAAAGTTTTAAAATAGGATTTAATTTCACTTAAAGATGCAACTGCAAAGTAAATATTTATGAAAATAACGCATAACGTCCATCGTAGGAAGAATTAATGTTCTGAGCCGCACTTTTTGTTACATCATTTAAGTTTACAGATAGGATTTTTGACAATCTGTTATCAGACATAACGATTTTGTTTTTTTGAATTCTAGATTAAAAAATGTCAGGTTATATATAAATAGTAGGATATTCAGTAATGTATTTATAAAGTGAAATCATATCAATTAATAACTGTGTAGAAACTAAGCAAATATTTTTAAATCAAAGAATATTAATTCTGAAATTTTTATTATAAAGTGTTAATTGGCTTTCTGTTATAGCCCGCAAGATGTAATTGAAGGCATTATTAAAAACTTTTTGGTATTGTAAACCAGACTATGAAATAAGAGCTATAAACATATCATTACATAGTTGTTCCAGTTTCATATTCATTGTTTGTCTAGATTATTTTTTATTTTTGCAACACATACATGCTTATATAGTCGAATCAAGATTTACTAATTTATTCAATTCAAAGAGTAAGATTTCTCAGATATCTTTAATAATTGAAATTTAATTAATATATATCACTACTATCTCTTTTCTCTAATCTTGATTTAAAAACATGCATTTAATTGTTCATGAGGGTTTTTCTTTTTGCATTTTAATTTTTTTGCAAATCTAAAAACCACACAATAAATATTGCAATTAATTGATATTATTTTCAACCAATGTTAAACCAAATTCAATTGATTAATTTCGATTTGTTTATTTGGTTTAATTTGAGTTCGACAGAATTTCCTATATTTTTAATTTAAAATGTAAATAAAATTAGTGAATTTTGTGGTGGATAAATCAAAATATTTTTTTTGTTTTATTTGGTTTTTAAAGATGAATAAAGTCACGCAGAATAAGTATGATATGTAATAAATAACTTGGTCACATGACAACTGATAGTAGAAAATAATAAAATTAAAGTAGCAAAGAAAAAATCTCCTCTCAATTACAAACTTAAATCACCAATTCAAACTTAAATTGAATTTTTATATTTTAACTTTGTCTTCATTATTCTATTTGAATCGAATCAAATTTAAAATTAATAAAAACCTACAAAAGCTGATAATACTCAGACTTAACAAAATATCAATACAGCAAGCTAATTTTATTTAATGTTTCTATAGTTATTTTTTAAAGCCATAGCTCCAGATTAAGTCATAATGTTTGAAGTCACAACTTGTGTCATGGCTAGAGCCATGGCTTAGGCTGTGGTAGATAATACCGATACAGTACTGCATAAAATATTATTACATAAGCTACAGTAAATAATGAAATTTTAAAACAATATAGTATTTAAATAAGCCATACAAACATTAATAACTCTAAAAATTCTTTTATAGATTGTAATTGTTTACAAACCTCATCGTCATATAATGTACAGGTTATCACATGATATTTTAATTAAGTATATTCAGTACTTTTTTTATTTAAACAATTGAACTTTATCAATCAATACGTATATTAATTAATTTCTCGTTTAAATTTTTATTCATATTGATTTAAGATTCTCTCAAGCACATAAATTAATAGATGGAAAGTAGGTTTAACCGGAAGTCAGTTCATTATCATGATGAAAAAAAAAAGTTTGAAACACCTTTTTTGTCATAGACTTGTCCTGATTGTTAAAATTTTATTATCTACATTCGTGTTATGAATCTTCGGCAAAATTATAGTAAGGATCACTTCAATTAATCATAGTGCTTATGTACTAGATTGGTAGCTAGCTAATCGTATTGAGAGCACCCTTAGTTTCTAAGTTTAGCTATTAAATCTTATGAAATTTCTTGCTTAAATTATAGCATTTCATATTAATATAGTTATGTTGTATTTAGTTATGTATCTTTATCTGGATTCTGTTGTCTAATATTTCTAAATTAGGCTTACATTCCTCCGTTCCTGGTTTCGCACGACAATGTTGCGCAGCTACTTATTAGTAAGACTTTATTTTTCAATTATAGCGATAATATAAAGCAATATTTAATACAATTTACAACACATATCTAATGCATAGAATAATACAAATTTTGACATTATAATAATTTATTTCTTTTTAACCATTGGTTAGTTTTCTTCGATAATTTATGTACTTTTTTTACAATCATTCTTATGCCCTTCATTTCAAATTGATCAATATTTTCTTTTTGAATATTCATTGACTGTATGAAATTTGGTAAAATAGATAAGACGCTAACTTGTCTATCGATAGAGGTTCGTATTTTCGTATCCTTCTTGAAATATTCAATGTCGACAAGAAGTTGGCTATTATTGTAAACATTACTAATTATAAGTTGAATACTTTTCAATGTCTATTAGATCTTTGTTGCTACATAGATATTAAATAAATTCTGAATTGGTATCAATTAAAATTTAAAATACCAACCTAATTTTAATATCACTTTTAGACGATTGAACATTGCTTATTTTACATTTGGCTATTATAGCTTCAACTTGTGATGCTTAAGCGACAGAAGTTTTTAGCAAAGTGACATAGATATATTTAATATATTCTATTCTTTTGTTTTGCTAAGTCTTAATTTGATAGTTTCTTGTATGTAATTAACGAAATAAAGCTTACAATATAAAATACATATAACAAATATTGCATCGCTTTTATTTTTTACAAGAAAAAAAAAAATGAAAAATATTATTGATTATTATAATTTAAATAATGATAAACTAATGACAATAAATAATTTTATTTTATTAGCTAGACAATGTACGTATGTAAATATGTAATTATTATTTCTAGTTCCGAATATTATACCATTCCGATCTAGCTTTCCGGATGATCATCTGATCTCAACCCCAGTACACATTTTCCAGGTGCCAGTGGCGTCCAAATAATTTACACCAATAAAAAATTCTAATGATAGCTATAAAATTTTACTATCGTCACTTTTCTTATATCGAGTTTTACTATATTCATATTATTATTTGCTATATCTTATTTGATAAACTTAACTTGTTTATGAGAACTTTAATTCATATATAAAATAATAATAATGTGATATAAAATTTTCTGATCAAGAAATCTATGTTCCATATGATTATAATAAAGATTGAGATTAAGAAAAAGTTTATTTGAAAACTTATTTTATTAAGAGAGATCAATTCACATATTCTCGATTAATACTGAAATCGAACTTTACTAGAAATTTAAAAAAAGAAGGTATAACCTTTTTCAACAGCAGAACAAATCAGACAGAAGTTGACCTTTAGACTAATTTAGTTTTGAAGGAATGAATATACTGAAAATATTCGGATTCGTTTTTTCAATAAACAAATTAAAATGTATTATGGTAAAAATTTAGTTATAATTTAAATAAATTTAAATCAATTTGAATTACTAATATTAAAAAAAAAAATTGTTATAAGAAATTACTTAATTAGATTGAATTTGAATTGTATATCAGATATATAACTTTCATAACAAATATTAGTCCAAATTGACCCAAGATTTTGTATATTATATAATCCATTAATTATTGTATAAATTTGGGCTAATATGAATTAAATATTTATTTTTAAAAAAACTGACTAATATCAAAAGAATTAAAATTTATACCATCAGACTGGTTTGCGAAAGTGTCAATATATAATAATTAAGCATACTGAAAATGTTTAAAAGGGTATCAAATCCAAAATTTCTCAATTAATTATCAATTGTTATTAATATACATAAGTTGTTTGTAATTTGAAACTAAATTCTTTTGACAAATAAGTTAATATAGAAACTTTTTTTTTTACAAAAAAAATTTTATTTAATAGATTAATGTATTTTATTTAATGAAAAAAAATTTCTAAAAAACTAAAAACTTAATAATTTATTTATTAAACTTTTTTTATATACAACAGACTCTATACAGTATAACGAACCTCTTTATAATAAACTTGTTTTTTCAGTACGTCAGTTCGTTACAGAAAGAGTTGGCTATCTTTTATTTTAGTAATAAAAGTAACGTTAAAAATGATTTAAAGAACTAAGAAAAATTTTCCTTATGAAAATACAAATAAGTTATTTAAAGAACTTCTGGCAGATAAATAAATCTCTCAGAATACAGCTTGTTTTTTATCATGGTCTGCTCAGGCTTTAGGTATCTGAAGGACACCCTCCTCTTGGTTCATACTTTCAGAGCATATGGCCTTTTTTTCTGGTGTATCTAAACTAGCAGTTTGGCTAGTGTGTCCCCCCACTAAAGGACCTGGTCGCTCAGTTCTCCAATCTTGGGCCTCGGTTCAAATTCAGTCTTCCTGTAGTACTGTTAAAGATCACTACTACATCCTACTTGGGACTTCCCAAACAGGCTCCAATCTCTGGTTCTGTGACCTGTGCTACACACAGCCCACAGATTACAGCCTTCTGGAATCCTTTCTCCAGTTCTACAGACCAGATCACTAAATTATCCCTGGGCCAATCTAAGTAGAAATCGTTATCTGACATATTCCATTTCTTTTCAAAAGTGTCATCCCTGGGATTCGAACTTAGAACTTATACCATTACTATTTGGTAAGGGTAACGACTAGACCACTTCACTAAAACATCACACCTCTCATAACACTATTATTATTGTACCAGCTATAATCATTTTGCATTATGAATTCAATTGGCATTAAAAATATATATTATTATTTGAAAAGTAGGTCAGAATAGCATAAATATTTAGACTAGAAAAATTACTGTTTATATAATAATATATATTATATATTGTCATTAGTTTACCATTAAATCAATATTTTTTATCTATTTTTTTTCTGCAAAAAAAGTGATGAAAATTTGGTTTAAAAATATATTTTTAATATAAGCTATTATTTTATTAATTATAAGCAAGATCTATCCAATTAGTACTTGATAAATTATTAATTATGTCTGTTTCACCATTAAAAACTGACTAAATATAAAAATAATCATAGTTTAATTTAAATTAGGTTAATATTTTAAGTTTTTAATAATTTAGAATTTATTTAATAACTATATTAGTAACAAAAATCTAAAGTTTTTTATTACTAATAGCAGGCATTGAATATTTAAAAAAAGAATATAAAATCTTATTAATAGGCAAGTTAATGAATGTTTTATCTATTTCAACAAAATTTCTTATTATAGTTAACAAAGGATTCTAAAATGTAAAAAAGATTTATTTGTAAGAATATACAATTTATCGAAGAAACGTTACAAAAAACAAACTAAATAGTTAAAAAGAAACAAACTGTCAGAAGACTGAAATTCAAGTTTACAGTATTTGTGTCATTTCTAATATTATTGTTATTATTATAATTTCGATTTAAAAATTGTGTTAAATAATAGCTAATATGCATTAATTAATCTGAGACATGTTACTTATCAATCAGAATCTGAAATGCGTCAGCTATCATCTAACATGTGCGATGATCTGAGACACAACATATATATAAAGATTTTTGGATTACGGTTTCGTTTGCTGCTTTTCTTTGATCAATTATTATTTTGCTTTTATAATATATTACTTCTTCTTCTTTTGATAATTCTATATATTTATATTCTGTTACTTGTTTTTCAGTTTGGTCTTGCTTCTTTTCTAATTCTTCTAGTTCTTCAAGTATTTCGTCTACTGTTTGGTATAGATGATAAGGTTGATTTTTTGTATCCTTATATCTGATTTCTTTGTTAGACATTTGTTATAGGTGTGATAATAATATAATAAAATTTAGATATAACAAATTTTTTTTTAAAAAAATTTGGCAGTCATACTTTAACTTTGTATGGCTTTCTAGATTCATAAAATTTTACACTAAGTTGTATTTAGAAAGGTAAGTGAAAAACTCTTAATTTGTTAGCAAATAGCATATGAGAACTATCTCTAAACGAAAAGTGCCATAGTATTAAACCTAATGTTTAGCTAAATTACAAGTTAAAACTAACCCGGTTACCCCAATTGGTACCTATGTTTGATCTGCTATAGCAAGATTTCCCTCCTTCTAGACCCCTCCTGCAATTGGATATGACCCGGCTCTCAATAGTAGATCTTGCCACCCATCATGACTATCTCCTCTTCTTTCAGACTTTTTTATCTAAGCTCGACAACACAATTAAAACCCTTATTTGTACACAAAAGTAAAAATGTAAAGCCATGTTTACGAGAAATATAAATATTTTAGAAAAAAAACACCTCATAGCGATAAAAAAAAACAAAAACTAAACTAAAATTCCTAAAATAGTCTAACATAAATAAATAAAGATGAAAAAAGTAAAAAAAAAAGAAAGTAGCCATGATACACTATTATAGCTGTGCTAGGCATAAAGATAAAAATATATAAAAATTACAACTAATTACTATATCTCAATTGTAAAACCTTCAGTTTAGCTTTGGGACTTGTTCTGGGCACCAACTCAACTTGGGTATCTCCTAAACGGATAACGATCTCTTCCTCATACCATAGCAACGTATTGATAAACAAAACAAACATGTGGTTGTATTCTACTAAGTCGTCCGAATTAGATAGATGTAAACAAAATCAATCTTTTGGAGGGGTGAGCTAAAATACCCACTTTTTTGGCGAAATTTTTGGTGAGAATGACAAAAAGCGAAAAACACAGAGGAGATCACTAGCACAAATTCAAATGAGTGTGAATTCTAAAGACATCAACAGGTATTCTATAAGTTTGTACAGTACTAAGTTTTTTTGATGAGTGATAAACTCTGGGCTTGTCAGCAGAAACATATAAGAACTATCTCTAAATGACAAGTGCCATGCTGCCATAAGTAATAAACTCTAAGCTTGTTAGCAAGTAGTGTATGAGAACTACCTCTAAATGACAAGTGTGGTTCTTCTTACACCTTTTTCCTATGTCTTACTTTTTTCTTGCAGTACGTTACTGTTTTTTAGTCAAAAAGTTTTTTGGAAAATATGGTCCAGATGATCGTCAGAAAGAGTTTTTTTTGTAGATATAACAAATTATATTACTAATATAGGCTTTATTTATTTGTATTATTTTTAAAATAAAAATAGCTACATCAGCAAATTTTAAAACCACAATATTGCGCAAGAATTGCGATTGACGCGCAATATTGTGAAAGATTT